GATTAATAAAAAATTAATCAAAGATTACCTTTGCATAGGATGTATACACATTCTTCCAACACATATTTATCATTCCTTTACTTGTAAACCCCTCAGATATGAACACTGCATGGTTGAGGGGTGCAGTACTCTAGTTTTTGGAATTGGTCTTTTGCCCGTTGGGTTTCAAAAGACAGTATATTGAAGATCTCCACAGTTGGTGTGTGTTGAGAAGCGGTTTGACTTGATCTTGAGACCAGAGTGCACTAGGAAGTTAAAGGATTAGTTCACTTTCAAATTAAAATTTCCTGATAATTTACTCACCCCCATGTCATCCAAGATGTTCATATCTGTCTGTCTTCAGTCAAAAAGAAATTAAGGTTTCTGAGGAAAACATCACAAGATTTTTGTCCATATAGTGGACTTTAACAGTTACCAAACGGTTGAAGGTCCAAATTGCAGTTTCAGTGCAGCTTCAAAGGGCTCTACACGATGCCAGCCGAGGAATAAGGGTCTTATCTAGTGAAACTATCAGTCATTTTCTTAAAAAAAAAACAAAAAAAAACATTTATATACTTTTTTACCACAAATGCTAGTCGTGCACTAGCTCGACTTCACGCATTACGCAGTCACGTTGGAAAGGTCAAGCGTGACATAGGCGGAAGCACCGACCCAGCGTTTACAAAGCGAACGAGCAAAGAAAGTCAAACGCCTTTTACAAAAAAAGGTAAAACAACGATGTTGCTCGATTTTGGGATTAAGTAATGTGAAGACGCTACAGCAGTGTTTCTCAACCCTGGTCCTGGGCGCCCCCCAGCACTGCACATTTTGTGTGTCTTCCTAATCAAACACAGCTGATTCAACTCATTAGCTCATTAAAAGAAACTCCAGGACCTGAAATGGGTGTCAGATAAGGGAGACATACAAAATGTGCAGTGTTGGGGGGCGCTCAGGACCAGGGTTGAGAAACACTGCCATAGCTAATGCAACAAAAGTAATCAAGTGTCATCTCATTCCGATGAAGCTATGATTTTTAAAATTTCAAAACATAAAATATTTCAGTCAAAAATTACCGAAGAGGCCCAGAGGGTTAAGCACATTTTTATACTTTATAAGAACATTTTCCTCTTTTATAATTTATTTTATATTTTGAGGGCATTTGTGGTTAAAAAGTATATAAATTTAGTTTTTTTTAGAAAATGACCAATCGTTGTACTAGATCCCCTGTTCCTCGGCTGGGATTGTGTGGAGCCCTTTGAAGCTGCACTGAAACTGCAATTTGGACCTTCAGCCCGTTGGTTCCCATTGAAGTCCATTATATGGAGAAAAATCCTGGAACGTTTTCCTCAAACCTTAATTTCTTTGCGACTGAAGACAGAAAGACATGAACATCTCAGATGACATGGGGGTGAGTAAATTATCAGGAAATTTTTATTCTGGAAGTGAACTAATCCTTTAATGTACATTCACTCTGTTGTGCCTCCCAACCTCGCTTGCCAAGGCATGGTTATATAATATCAATTTACTGCAGTTCTAGTGATTTCAGTAGTGCTAACATTGGTCACACAACGCTTTTTGCGCAATAGTCTTGTTTCAATATGTATGCAACTTTTTTGATTGAGAATCTAGGCAAAAACATGAACCTTGACTTCATATTTAGCACACCGGTTCACAGAATACATTTTAATGAACTCTGTGACCCCTTTTCGTGAACCCTTCTGACCACCCTGCACCACAATTTTACAAATGTTATGTAGTGCAAGTTCATTCTGGAAGTGGAGCAAGGTTCCTGAGTTTGGGGGGAAAGGTCAGGCTTGTTGGCCTCTATGCACATTGTTACCATAGCTGCACTGCCAGATCTGAACTTTGATTTATGGTCATCTTTTATGCTTTGAGGCTGGCTTTGAAAGGGACAAAGACAGGCAAACTAGAGAAAAGAGGGGTAGAAAAGACAGAAGGAAGATGCTGAGAGTTAATAGGCTTTTGCTGTACTTGCACTAATTTGCCGTCCTGACATTGAGCAGCAGGTTCTGCCAAAATGTCACCATGTTCAGTATTTGGAAACATGAATGAGGGTGAAGGTTTAAAAGTGCAGGGGTATTATGGCTTGCTTTCCTTTTTAAAAAAAATATAGCCTGTAACTCATTCAGTTAAAAGAAAAATTAAATTCTCAATTAAAGTTGAGATCCAGCGCCATTTACTGTGATGTATGTAAAAATAAATCCAATATGATATTAAAGCAACGTGTCTATAATAATTTTACCTTGTACCTAAATCTTGCAGGGTTATGCAAAAAAAAAAATCAGGATTAAAGAATTATCTGTCTTTTAGTTCATGAGTTGGAATTTGATATAACAGAATGAGGAATCTGCCTGTCTTTCATGGCTGTTTACATTTATTTATTTTTTTTAAACTTTCAAGCAAGCAGTGTTGTAGTATTTCTCGGACTGAAGTCCAAGATCATAGGAGCATTTTAACCAGTCTTGGAATCGTGTTTAAGATGAACTCAATTATTATAACACCACAAACAAGCCTTTGTACATTGAAAAATTCAGATATGTTTAACTAGAAACGCAAAGTTTTGACGCATTAAAGAATTACAAAATTTCTTTTTCCAAAATTTCAAAATTCCTTTTAACTGTTATTGCTATCATTTGCTACCAGAGTCTAAATTCAGTTATACATTTTACACAATTCCCTGTCTGCACAAAATTTTGTCTGCACTTTCCACCCCTAATTAGTATCAGAATCCATGCTGATACCAGTTGCTGATTTTCTGTCAGCATCACAAGTCATAAGTTGGTCCATCTGAAATTTTTTGTACATTTACACAACACCCAGCAGCCTCTAAAAAAACATGATACCCATCCTTTTCCTCTCCACTAACTGAGAGAAGGTGAATAATGCACTGTAGCTCTTTCTCCCCATGACCTACATTCTGTTGTTCTTTTTTGTCAGGAGACTTGATGAACTATCATTAATTATTTATGGCAGTTTTTCTCTCTTGTTCAGGCTTCTCTTGTTGTGACATATTTCACATTAAATAATTTAAAGTCCTGGTTTTTGATTGCAAATTGATGCAATGACATGCTTTGATAGTAATTTTTTTTTTTTGGGGGGGGGTTATTTATTATATATAAAAAAAAAATGTATATCACGTTAATGTGAGATGTGAATAATAGCCAGTGAACAGTTAATTAGCCCAAACACAAATTCATGCTTATGTTCGGGAAGAGTGCCTGAGCTTTTTAAAGATTATTATAGCCAAAGCCAAATCAAAAGTTCTTTTACACAATGATTAAGGAAAATAGGATTTATAGAGCTCATTCAAAACCTCTGTTCATTAGCTGCTGAGTGCTCTGTTACGGCGAGTCAGAAAAAGACATATTGTTGACTGGGAGCAGATCCATGAGTTCATATTTAGTGCTGGCTTGAGTCTCAGTGAGTCTGCCTGGCAACACTTTAATCAGTTAGGCCCTGTTTACACCTGGTATTAACATCCGTCTTGGGTAATCCGATCCTAAGTGGTCAGCCGAGAAAGATTGCCGTATACACCTGGAATTAACATGTGTCTCCTGTGGCCACTCGTGATTGCATCTCTTATTGAGTAATTGTCACTGCCTGCTGATAAATCACAAAAATATAAACATTGCAGTTGTAATGCTTATTGTTATTTTAGTATTTTTTTGTTATTTTATATTGGCGAATCTTTCATATGTTGGACACATTTAAATTAATAAATGTTTCTATTTTTTAAAATGTTGGACAATTTGCCTTAAAAATATTGTCTATTACAGTTAGACACATTTGAGTTTTTTGCATATAATTGTAAATGAATGCTAATTTTGTTGGCAAATTATGAATGTGTGTAAATTGGGCTAAGATTAATGAATTAATAACCCCTTTCACACGGCACGTTGGATCTCGGAAAATTGCCGGAGTGCCTTCTGTGTGAACGCAGACACGTCCCAGGATTGATTGATTGGGATCGATCCCGGGTTGGGGACCTAGTTACATTGCCAGGTTCAGTCCCGGAAGGCACCCCGTGTGAACAAAATCCGGAACCAATGCCTTAATGGATGTGTCGTAGTGATGATGTAGTACCGTGCGACTCTTTGAGAGGGTGTTTTCAATAATACAACCCTGCAGTGCCGGAGGGGCTAGTCGGTGTTTTAAACGCAGAGAGTGGTGTTCGCGTAAAAAAATAAAAAATTAGCACAAATGTGCGCAAACTGGACTGAAGCAGAGACCACGGACCTCCTTAGTATCTGCGCTGAAGCTGAGATCGTTCACCAGCTCAGTGGAACGGTACATGATGCCGTTGTGTATGAGCAAATTAAAACCAAAATGCAACAGCGTGGTTTCTCGAGAGAGAAATCACAAGTAATAAGTAAACTCAAGTTTTCGACTCGTACATTACACGTCACATCCTGATGTCACGTGTCATTACGGGACCTTCACGGGTTGTGTGTGAACGCACACACAGATTTCGGGAAATCAATGGCAGTGTGAATGAACCAAAATCTAACAATTTGGAAACAATTCCCGGGACACATTACCCATGTATTTTCTGGAATCTCTCTGTGAAAGGGGCTAATGATTAATAAAAAATTAAATATTGACTAAATAAAAAAAAATAAAAAAACTACACCAAACAAGCAAAAAACTGTTTTAAAAAAATTAACATTGTCACAAATAACAGGCAATCTTTAAAACCTTTGTGATAGTGCAATGGTTGATTAACAGGTGAGAACTTGATTGTTGTTCAGGTTACATCTGGATAGATTAACAACTACTACAAAGGCAAATTGGTCAAATTTGTTTCTGACTTTATCTGAACGTGGAATGAACAAACATTTTGCGAGATTAACACTTATATTCCCTGTGCTCTCTCACAGTCCCTCACACCCACATGCTAACTCTTATGTCTGTGCTCTTTGTTGTTGTTTTATAACTAGGTGGTTTTAATCTCTTTGGTTTTTGTCTTCATGTACTAATGGAAGTCTGACTTTTTGTTCCAGGTCCAGGTGCCCCCACCTCATGGAGAAGGTTGGCAAGGTGTGGAGTAACCTGAAGAAGGGATGTCAATCTCTGCTCCACACAGATGGGGGTTCTCGCATTGAAATGCCACCACAGCTTCAACCGCAAACAGACACAGTATGCCAGAGTGTGGACAAGGCCCAGGGAGACAGCACACTGGAGGCTGCTAGTCCCTCTAGCAGTGTGGTGGCACTCCCTCTAGTGGCATGGAGGACCAGTGGGAGTGTGACACGACAGGGTCATAACTGTGTAGTGGATGTACCCCAGATACTAGAGATCACAGTTGAGCAGGATACCGAAGATACTCGTGCTCCTCTGGGAGTCCGCAGAGACTCTTATTCACGTCATGCACCTTGGAGTGGAAAGAAGAGACACTCATGTTCCACTAAGGCTCAGAGTTCTCTGGAGACCACAGATTGGCGATCAGGCGGTTTTCTGCGCAGACATGGGACTGGTAGCAGCCGTGAGGAACTGGAGTCAGGGGCAGCACGCTCCCTACGGCAGCAGATTCATGATGCAGTGGGCCTGTGCCTCCCACTGCGCTCATCCTCTCGGAACAGTCACCTTCCACCACCCAAACGTAAGATACAAATCACAGAGCTGATGCTGGAGACGTGCCCCTTTGCACCAGGATCAGACCTTGCCCGAAAATGGCACCTAATTAAACAGCACACGTCACCAGTCACAGTGATACCAGTGGATTCATCCTCAGATGCTTGCGGTGCTACCTGTGCATCACCGGAAGATGAGGAGGAGCGCTTACGCGAAAGACGACGACTCAGCATTGAGGAGGGTGTGGACCCACCTCCAGATGCCCAAATCCACACAGTGGAGGCCATCACAGCCCCCCTAGCTTCCCTTTATAAGCTGGGACCTAAATTGGCCCCTGGAATGGGTGAGGCCCTAGACGATAGCCGGGGGGCAACAGCAGCTAACTGTGACTCTGAGGACGACGATACCACCACTCTTTGCTTGCAAGCTCGCAGGCCCAAGCAGCGGCACGCTTCGGCTGAGGGCCTCCTGAGTAGCAAGCAACCGGGCCCTTGGAAAGTACACACTCAGATTGACTACATCCACTGCTTGGTTCCAGATCTGCTACAGATCACAGCACTTCCCTGCTACTGGAGTGTGATGGACCGTTATGAGGCTGAAGCGCTGCTGGATGGTCGGCCCGAGGGAACCTTTCTGCTGCGAGACTCTGCTCAAGAAGGCTACCTGTTCTCCGTTAGCTTCCGCCGCTATGGCCGTTCGCTGCATGCACGCATTGAGCAGTGGAATCACAACTTCAGCTTTGATGTGCACGACCCTTGCGTATTCCACGCAGCCACTGTCACAGCTCTCATGGAACACTACAAGGACCCTAGCGCTTGCATGTTCTTTGAGCCATTGCTCACTGTGCCTCTGCACCGGACCTTCCCATTTGGCCTGCAAAGCCTTGCTCGATCAGCCATTTGCAATGGGATCACCTATGATGGCATCGGGGCATTGCCACTGCCCCCTGCTCTGCAGGATTACCTCAGGGAGTATCACTATAAGCAGAGGGTGCGTGTACGCTGGCTTGAGAGGGAGCCAGTCAAGGCCAAGTGAGGCAGGGCAGATACTTCTCAGCTCTCCAATAGGAGTAGTCTATTCAGCACTTTGCAGAGGTGGAGGAATTACAATTTTTTTGGTGGGGGGGAAGGGGTTAACTGCTCGGGGTTAGATGTTTGAAAGGAGGGACCTGAAACTGAACACGATATATAAGCTTCTATCATTTTTTGTTATCACTCTAACAAACAAAGACATTACAGTGGCTCTCCAGTGTGCACATTTCACAACAGCTTCTGGACTAGGATGAAGCAGCAGAGGTCTTATTCTCATTTTCCCTACTCCCTCAGTTCCTATGGCTGTGCTCTAGGGGAAATCTGCAGATACAGATATTTTCATGCCCCTCCACTCTTTCACGTCTTGACCATATGGTTTATAGCCATTTCACTTTATTTCTGTTGTACCGTTCACCTCCCAACCTGTCCTTAATTTTCTTCCATTAAATTTGCATTGTTAAAGCAAGCTTATTCAAAATAATAATGTGGACAAATTCTGAGGGGTGGGGAAATGAAGGGTGATGTTCAAATATTGCTTTTTCAGCTTATTACATCATCTTTAGCTTTCATGGTGCTCTGTCAGTGGTTCCCATGGTAACATTCTGTGCTCATTCCGTGGTTAGAGGAGGAGGCATTCTAGAGCATAGAGCAAAGAACGAGACAGAGAAATCCATGAAAGATGGATTGACCTTAAACTATGTGTCCAGACAGCTTTTGGGAATGCGTTGCAGAAGGGCTCTGTGACGTTCTGCTTCCTTGCGCTTCCGGGAAGCGATAAGGATGACGTGCACAACCTGACGCGGTGTGATGTGAGAGCGCTTGGTTTTCAAAAAACATAGTTACTCACACTCTGCGTTCTGTTGCTGTCAATATGTTTTATAATCATGAATTCCTACCACTAATTGCACAGAGGGGGCGGTGACTAATTCCGTATCGTCTTTTTTGTATTGTTGTGAATGGTCTATCAGTGCCCTGGTAGTTGGGCGATGATTCGGAGCACTTTAACTTAACTGTGCTTATGTTAGTGGGTGCAGCAGAGGCAATACATAAACCTGCTACACTGGGACCATTGTTGTTTGGCATAAACACCCTCCTATATAGGAATAAACACTCAACGCTCACTTTGTCTAACCCACGTTGTTTTAGAGAGGACAGAGTAAATTTTGATGTGACCCCATCAGTGCCATTGGATATGGGTCAAGCTGGCTTGTTTGGCTTGATTTTGGGATGATTTAATAGTTGATGAATGATCTGTATATTTAGGTTTATCAGATTCTTTTTTTTTACGCAACTAGGAGGAAGGTTCAGGATTTAAATAGAGTATAATCACATTATTGGCCCCTAGGCCAAGACCAGCTTCGTGATCACTTTAAAGGGGTCATATGATGCGATTTCAAGTTTTCCTTTCTCTTTGGAGTGTTATAAGCTGATTGTGCATAGATAAGATCCCTGAAGTTGCAAAGACTAGTACAGTATTTGAAAAATAATGTGTTTTTTGAACATTAAAGCATGTCAACATATTCTGTTACACCAAATACACAAAATAATGATCTTTAAAAAAGCATATGACCCCTTTAAAATCAGCCATATCCACACTTAAAATTCTTGACTAAATTTGACTTTCAAATGTCATAGGTGTTTTTGATGAAAGCTGGAAAAAGGATAAGACAGATTTATAACTTTTGTGCCGTTTGCCCCATCTGTTTAGTCTCAAAAAAGACCTAGATCACTTAAGTAGTGTGCCTTCATACATCTAAAGCTTTTAGTTCATCATATGGTGCATTCAGTGGATGTGTTACTAACAGTGGTCCAACTGGAAAAGACATGTTTTCCATTGACTGTTCCTGCACTGAATGCCAATGGCACTGTGAGACATCCTCTTCATGGGCCTGGTGCTGATGTATGATGTATTTTGAGTACTGCTAGGGATATGACTATTGAGTCCCACATCTTTCTGACTTGTTTTCAGCTGATGAGATCAGGTAGAACTGCCAAATGCTAAGCTCAGGCTCATAACACCTAAACAGCAGTGTGGTACTGTGCGACTATAACCAGCTTTGTGTGCTTGTGTGTATGTGTGTGAGTGTGTTGCACTGCCCCTGACCTCCCTGTCATGTCAACTATAAGAAACTTCTGCTGACATGAAAAGTTGTGTGTTATCCGCTCCTCCCAGGCAACACTAATTCACAATCTATCCTAATGCATTTAAAGTCGTCTTCCTGCACGTTATCCTGTCCTGAGTCTTTTTCCTCGCACAAGAATAGATGGTCAGGGTCATCCTGGGAAGAATTCAAAAACACGAGGAGAGAGCTTTGGGGCGATGCTGACTCACTACTGTGTGATTTGATCTCCCTCACTTCCTCTCTTTATGTAAGGTGTGGGTGAAATTAGTGCAATTTAGACAAAGCCTTGGCTTAGATGGAGGCTGTGAAGCAGGTTTCAGGTTAACATGGCATCTGAAAGGGCCAGCTGTCCTGCTTACCGCTCACCTGTAAAAGTGTCATGCTTGGCTTTGCTCCAGACACTCCTCACTGCACTAACTCATGAAACTTGACCTGTACCTACCTATACCTCTGTGTACCAATTTTAATCAGGGGTAGAACATTTGCTCAGTCAGATTGGGGCTAGACGTAATGGATTATAGATATCTATCTATCTATATATATATATATAGATATAGATATAGATACAGATTTTAAAATTAAATATTTTTAATATTAGTACCTGTAAAGAAATGCAATAATGTTCTTAGGCTTAGCTCTAATGGTGACCCATGTGAAAACTGATGTGAATTGTCTATGGATTATAGATATCTATCTATCTATATATATATATAGATATAGATATAGATACAGATTTTAAAATTAAATATTTTTAATATTAGTACCTGTAAAGAAATGCAATAATGTTCTTAGGCTTAGCTCTAATGGTGACCCATGTGAAAACTGATGTGAATTGTCTGAGAAGTAGGTCCTTTGAACTTGTCTTCAGGTTAGGATCATTGTGTTTACATAATGACAAAAAACGGATATGGTGCAATGTGTCAAAAAGGTGTGCGAGAGAAACTATCAGGTGTATGATTTTATCGGTCAAAATGGATGGAGACTTTATCACAGATCACAAAGCAAGATGAAAAGTTGTGATTCTCAGATGTGATACGAAGGCTTAGATTGGCAGTGTGTGGCCTCACACATGATATGCGCCTGTCAGTAGCCTTGTTGCAGTAGCTGCAATTTCTTTTAGAAAATGACAAGACTATGCTAAAATGTTAGAAAGTCATTTTGTGTGCAGAGCCTTGCACATTACCAACAGGAAAAGTTTTCTGACAATGTTTTTTGATATGTCTCACAAACTATAGGGAGGTTGTGTTCAGCAATGTTTAGACAGAAATAAAAGACTGACTGGTTGTCTGAATTGTATTAAATTCTGTTGAATCGGTTTCAGATTCAATAAATCACAAGCATCACCATGGTAACTATGTTACTGTAAAGCTCTGTATGCACATTTGTTTTAGAGAAAGGGGCTGAAGGTGAGGTTTAGGACTGGGTGTCATGGTGACAGCACTTGAGATGACTTTTGCGCCACCCATGACCTGCCTCTGTATGTCTGTTTGGACCCTTGGGACTAGCCCCTCAAAACACTTGCTGAAACATGCACCATGGATTATCTGGAGTGACGTGGTGATCACTGTCCCTCACCATCTTATGTTTCAATTATTATTTTTTTTGTTTTATACACTGCCCAAGGTTTGTACTGTACAATGTAATTACTCGCACTTGATGTCCTTTCTCTCATCTTTCCTTCATTCTCTCTTATGTACAGTTAATGGTCCCTACTCCCAGGCTGTTACTAAGTTGCTCTGTTGTATTATTTTGTTTGGCTTTGGGTTACAGTTTGCTGTTTTTGGGGGGCAGAGGGTTGCAGCTCTGCTTGCCCCTCTTTCACCAGTATCTGTCACTCTTGGTGCTCTTGGCTTTTGCTTCATTGTCTTAATATTCAAAAATAAAAGTGTTGTATGTGTAATCTGTTTTCCGGTTTCCTTTTTTTATTTAGCACACTCTGACATCAGGTTGCTTTATATTGCTGATAAATAAATATCTATGAAAGTTCTTGGGAAAAAAAGAATTTCAGAAATGTTATGTTGAAATATTTGAAAAGGTCACCTCCATTAATTTTAGTTTGTGAGGGATAATAGGTTGCAAAATTCTTTATCCTGAAATGTATTTTATTTTACATCATGTTTTTGTTTTTAGTTAGCCTTTGCTTAGCAGTCTATTAGCTTAGCCTACTAGCTATTGTGTTAACATGCTAGAACATCTAAGATATTATCATAACGCACTACATTTTTAATAAGACATTGAGGAAAGGTATCTTGCAAGATTCTGGAGCTGAAGGCGCAGAGTCAGGTTGTCATGTGTTTCTGCAGTGTGTTCTGTTGAAGTCAGGTAAAAATAGTAAGTGGGTTCAGTTTATCTGCAGCAGACCTTTTTAATAACTGAAAGGCTGCATTGATTGAGGAAGAGATGGAAGATGGGAGGTAGGTGGGAAAATAGGATGCGATCTCTCAATCTAATGCACTAGCCAAATCAAACCAGTATTATATAATGCACGTCTTACCAATTCTGTATTAACCTATGTTCCATGTGTTTTCATTCCCCTGTTGGGGGCTTCAGGTCAGTGGGTAAATGTGTAGGGACCTGCTGGAGTTCAGTATGGTTGGAGCCTGCCTTTTAGATACTGCACTGCGCTATAAATATACCCAGACATCTGGGCCTTGCCAACAGTTAGCAGTTCACAGTAAGGTTCTTGTGGTAGCCACAATGGAATAACTGTGTTCAAGTCACATCTGCTTCATCTGGTCTTGTCATCCAGAAAATAAATAACCCTACTAACCTTGTTTCTTTCTAGCAGCCAAGACAACTAAACACTGTCATTTTAAAGCAGGGCTGTCCAAACTCGGTCCTGGAGGGCCGGTGTCCTGCAGAGTTTAGCTCCAACTTGCCTCAACACACCTGACTGGACGTTTCTATGCCTAGCTAGAGCTTGATTAGCTGGTTCAGGTGTGTTTAATTAGGGTTGGAGCTAAACTCTGCAGGACACCGGCCCTCCAGGACAGAGTTTGGACAGCCCTGTTTTAAAGATTCTTCTTCTATCTTCTGCTAGTGACTTTTGACTCTTAGAAAAAGAAAAATCCTGTTCATTTACTTTCAGGGCCTCTGTAATGCTCAGCTTTACCCCCTTGTGGCTCAAAATACTTTTCTACAAGAAGACTGTTTCGTAAGTTCATAGAAAAGGTCCCAGGTCACTCACCTCTTATTGCTGGACCCAGTGTTGAGATTCCCTCCTCATCGACTCTGATACTATAACATGTAGTCAGTTCATCATTAAGTTCTCCATTGTTTTCCGTTGTTGGTGAAGTGTTATTTTGGTTTCCGATTACCAAGGAGAGGCTACGCAAGGTCCTAAAGATGGCGGCCACAACAAAAAAGTCAAGTGACTGAAACCCATGAATTCTTTGATGAATACTGAGGTTTCGGACATACTTCTTTCTTCACATACTCTTTTCTCCTACTATATAGTAGGTAAGTAGGCATATTCAGATGCACTTTAAGTAGACACACGTCCGAATCTCGCCAGAATTAGTACGTCACCCAGGTAATTCTCGCGGACTCCTATATGAATACTATGGATTCGGACATACTTATTCGCTTGCTTACTGCTTTTCCCCTACTACAGGTGCATCTCAATAAATTAGAATGTCGTGGAAAAGTTCATTTATTTCAGTAATTCAACTCAAATTGTGAAACTCGTGTATTAAATAAAATCAATGCACACAGACTGAAGTAGATTTAATTTATTTAATACACGAGTTTCACAATTTGAGTTGAATTACTGAAATAAATGAACTTTTCCACGACATTCTAATTTATTGAGATGCACCTGTATATAGTAGAGAAGTAGGCGGATTCGGACACAGCCAGAGACAAGATTGTAGATCTGCATAAGACTGGAATGGGCTACAAGACCATCAGCAAGATGCTTGGTGAGAAGGAGACAACTGTTGGTGCAATTATTCAGAAATGGAAGAAAAACAAAACAACCATCAATCGGCCTTGGTCTGGAGCTCCGTGCAAGATCTCGCCTCATGCAGTAAGGATGTTCATGAGAAAGGTGAGGGATCAGCCCCGAACTACACTGGAGGAGCTTGTTAACGATCTTAAGGCAGTTGGGACCACAGTCACCAAGCAAAACATTGGTAACACACTACTGGACTAAAATCCTGCAGCGCCCGCAAGGTCCCCCTGCTCAAGAAGGCACAAGTATAGGCACGTTTAAAGTTTGTCAGAGAAGATCAAAATGATTCAGAGAAGGCTTGGGAGAAAGTGCTGTGGTCAGATGAGACCAAAATTGAGCTCTTTGGCAT